AGCTCCCCCTTCGACGGGGAAGGGCGGGATTCCTTGGCGCACGCTACTTCCCGGCGCGGCATCGGAGGAGACACCCACTTCGACTCGGACGAGCCGTGGACGCTCGGCAACGCCAACACGACGGTGAGGCGCATCATGTGATGTCAGGAAGTCTTTGAGTCCCCTTGAGAGGCGGGTTCCATCACAGAGCTGCTTCCTAACTTTTGCTGTGAAGTCGGCGTTTTAAATGGTTTTCCTTTCATCTTGGTCTTTTCTCCAGGTAACGACCTGTTCCTGGTGGCGGTCCACGAGTTGGGCCACGCGTTGGGCTTGGAGCACTCCAACGATCCGAGCGCCATCATGGCGCCTTTCTACCAGTACATGGACACTCACAACTTCAAACTGCCTCTGGACGACCTGCAGGGCATCCAGAAGATCTATGGTGAGGTTCAGGCCTCCCGAGGCCTTCAGACCAGCTTCAGAGGACAGTTAGCTGAAGGAGGGCTCGTGAAATGAAATGATGAATGAATGAATGAACAGAAGATCTCTGGTGGAGAATATCGCTGAGCTCACTGTGCTCTCCTCCTGTAACATGGGAGAATGAGGAAGCTAGTTAGCATACCATCCAACCCCTTTAGCCCGTGTGCGGTTTGCTCCCTTCACGGGATAAAAGTCTGATTTCAGAATTCATTACGTCATCTTGTCTCATCTTCCTGGAGATATCTACCCACAAGTCATATCGTGAGAGAACACGCTGTGCTGACATTGGGTGTTAGCATGTAGCATGAGAGCTAATCCAGCTTGGATGAGGCTGGTATCCATCACATGAACTCTCACACTCTGACACTGAACTACAGTCGCACACTGAGAGGACCCAGAGGTGTCATTGGGTTGATATTATTATCGTTATCCAAAGGAATCCCCACCGCCATGCTGGAGCCCACCCGCCCGCTGCCCACCTTACCCTCTCGGAGGACGCACTCCACCTCGGAGCGCAAGCACGACCGCCACGGCCGGCCGGCGCGCCCCCCCGGAGACCGCCCGGCGCTGCCCGGCAACGGCAAGCCCAACATCTGTGACGGCAACTTCAGCACCGTGGCCTTCTTCAGGAGGGAGATGTTCGTCTTCAAGGTGGGCGTGTGTGTGTGTGTGTCACCCACCAACAGAAAAACCCATTTTGATGTCTCTGATCTTTAAACTGAACGTTAGAAAAGGTCACCAGTCCGTCTGTCTCTCTGTATGTCTGTCCCTCTGTATATCTGTCTGCCTGTCCCTTGAGAGTTCCAGGTTCGAGGTGGTCCGATGCTTGGAGTGGGGGGGGACGGGGGTCAGAGATGAGGAGGAACTTCCTGCTTCCTCCTCCTCTGTGACGTTTTGAGCGCTCCGATTGGCCGATTCCACAGCTCGCTCCATCGGCCCCCTGTGAGGTAGAATGTCTAACGGGTTCTTTGCCTGCAGGACCGCTGGTTCTGGCGCCTGAGGAACAACAAGGTGCAGGAGGGCTACCCCATGCAGATCGACCAGTTCTGGAAGGGCCTGCCGCCTCACATCGACGCCGCCTACGAGAGGTCGGACGGGAAATTTGTCTTTTTCAAAGGTACAAGGAGACCCCCCCCCCCCGTCCCCCACACTCACTTAATGTCTGTACAATATATAGAAATCTAAACTAAAGATATACACATATCTCTGGTTCTTTGGCTCCTCAAAGCGTTGTGATGATAAAAGCACCTTTGCTTCTCCAGCAGTGATGTGTGCAGCTCATTTATTAGAGTCACAGCTGAGTGCTGCTGCCTTCAATGACTGAAGGAGCCATCAGTGTTTTTCTGTGTTCATGGTCCCCGAGTGCTCGGGGGAAACAGGCTGTTTAAACGAGTTCCTGTTCATTGCCCCTAAAAAGAGACTTTAAAGAGAAGCTTGTGTGATTTTGAATCTCCTTTTCTGTTTTCCCACATCTAACTTCTGAACACAATATTACAAAATAACAGAGCTGCAGACGGGCTGCTCGCTTCTTCCTGCTTTAAAAAACAAACAATACAATTTATTTCTGAAGGTTATGTTGGTGTTTGGACGCTTTTGAAGAGGTAATTTTCCTTCTGTTGTGTTGTCTCTCTGCCAGCTGGATAACATTTATCGCTCCTCTGGATCCTGGATTTGATTAATTTCTCAAATCTAAATATTAACCATGATTCAGAATCCTTGGGGTTGTGATTGCACTTTCAACAGATGCTGAATCTGAAAGCATGTGTGCCATAGTCAACGTGGTGACTCGTCTCTCCTGCAGGCGACAAGTACTGGGTGTTCAAGGAGGTGACGGCGGAGCCGGGTTACCCCCTCGGCCTGGTGGAGCTGGGCAGCTGCCTGCCCAAAGACGGCATCGACACGGCGCTGCGCTGGGAGCCTGTTGGCAAAACCTACTTCTTTAAAGGGGACCAGTACTGGCGCTACAACGAGGAGAAGCATACGGCGGACCTGGGGTACCCCAAACCCATCAGCGTGTGGAAAGGGGTCCCGGACGCACCGCAGGGGGCCTTCATCAGCAGGGAGGGATGTGAGTGACAGGGTGCTACGATACGTTTGTGGCCTTCTCAGGAGGACCAACCCTAGCTTCCATAAATAGCATAAATCAAAGCGAGAACATATTCAAGTATGTAGGACTGAGGTATACGTCTCTGGTAGGGACCTGTCAATCAGCGTGTAGCCCCGCCCTGCTTTATGGTCTGTTTGACTCTAAATAGACCATAATTTACTACAGTAACATCATGCTGTATTGAAGAAGACTAGAGATTGAGACCATGAACTCATGTTTACAATGTTTTGTGGGAATAAATCAAGAGAGAAGTATTCATTTTCTCATAGACTTCTATGGGAGCAGAGGAGTCGACCCCTGCTGGTCACTACAGATATTGCAGCTGTGACACGAGAAGCTCTTCCTTCACTTTAGGAGCAGTTTCATGTTTAGAGCGGGTTGACCATTAACAGTTCCATCCCCGATTCCCACTGTTTCAATTGATGCCAAGTTTCTGTGCAGCGGTCCAGAAGTTCAAGACACATGTTGTCCTGACCCGACTCCCCTGAGACGCCATTGATGATTTGACATTAATCTATAGGGTTTCTGAAACCTTTTGAAACCCCCACTCAACTCTCTAATTTCCCATTTCTGTTCTCTGCCCCCCCCCCCCTCCTCCCCTCAGACTACACCTACTTCTACAAGGGGAAGGAGTACTGGAAGTTCGACAACCAGAAGCTGACGGTGGAGCCCGGGTACCCCAAGTCCATCCTGCGCGACTGGATGGGCTGCGAGCAGTCGGACATGGAGCGCTCCGGCAGCAAGGCGAACCGCGGGGACCGCCAGCTGCCCATGGACGACGTGGACATCATGGTGACCATCAACGACGCACCGACCACGGTCAACGCCATCGCCGTGGTGATCCCCTGCGTCCTGTCGCTGTGCATCCTGGTCCTGGTCTACACCGTCTTTCAGTTCAAGAACAAAGGAGTGCAGCAGAGCGCCATGACGCAGCACTACTACAAGTACCCCGTCCAGGAGTGGGTGTGACCACCAACCCTACTTCCAAGAGGTCCGAGTTGGCAGTTCGGAGGTGTGGGGGGTCGGGGGGGTCGAGCAGTCGTCATACTGTGAGCTCGCTCACGTTGGCTAACGGCCAAACATTGCTAGCAAACGAAGCAATGGAGAGTCCAGTGTTTCCAGTGGGCAGAGGGGTTGGGGGGGGGGCCTGACTGGCCTTTTCATTTTCCGATTCTGCTCTCAGTCCGCCGGTGGGAGCGTGCTCACCTGTGTGTCTGAGGGAGACGGGTTTAGTGTGTTATCATGTTACCGGGCGGGGCGCTTTGAGGGGGCAGCGTGCCGGGACGTGATTGGCTGAGGTGGACGACGCAGCCGATTTGCCACTCTCTGGACAGAGATGATAGTGATGATTCTGTCCTCAAAGGCTGAAGACCTCCTCCGAGATCTGACTCGACGTGAACATGCGGACTCCAAACAATGAGTCAGATGAAACAAAGATTTGAAATGTCAAATTTGAAGATAAAATATAGGTAGAAAGACCGTAAGAAAAAGGAAACCAGGGACCTCACCTTGGATCTGTGAATTGAATTGAATTTATTTATACTTGTATGAAGCTGTAAAAATGTCAGGAGGACCTTTTTTTTACCACACAGAACTGAAAGCATCTTCGCCACCATAAAATCTAATCTTCGCTCTCATTTACGCCGCTTGGACTTTGGTTTTTGCGGATGTAGAATAGCCAGTCGTCAGCGTAGTGTGACAGATATTAGATATTAGACGAATGATCGTTAATAAGTCTTATCTCGGTCACAACAGTTAGTTCTCAAATTAATTCAGACTGAAGGGTCGAATGAAAAGATGTTTTACTTTCACTGGAAAAGTCAACGCTATTGATATCTTTGGTGATTGAACAAAATATTTAATTGTACTTCTGGGATTTGATCCCTTTTGTCCCTTTTTGCCAACAAACTCAACTAATTATTGTTGCCAATTTCTTTATATTTATAAAAATGTTTATCAGGATTTCACACAAAATGAATTATCCTTTTAAATTTGGGGATTTCTACAAATCTAGTTCTTTAATATTTATTGTCTCTTCCAGCTGTGGAAGTATTTGGACCAGGCTTAAGTATAAAGAAATGATTTCTTTATACGTTGTACATTTCAAGAATAAAGAGGAATATGTTAAGAATGAAGTTGATTTTTCAGAATATGCTCTAATGCCAATAGTTTCATTTATCTCAAGAGTTTATTCTAGTAATGTTGTCTTTATCCTCATACTTCAACTTTACTCTTATTTTAAATTATTCCACATCATTGGGTTTATTTTCCATTTCAACTTCATGCTTAAACTTTTGAATTTTTTCCTCAACATTTTTCCCTTTATTCTCTAATAATACTCCAACTCCAAAAAGACATTTCCACTTTGTTCTTGAAATGTCGCTCCTCATTGTGTCCTCAGTCTGTATCCGGTTCTGAACATCCAATGTCACTCCAACACTTCCTGAATCCTGGATTGGGTCTTTAGAATAGTTCTGAGTCTTTGTTCTCCTCTTTGCAGATGCACATTGTTTTCATCAGGATTAAATACGGACTTTTGTTGACGGTTAAGAGATTGTCTAGAGATTTGTCCAAAAAGATTCATGGCGGTCGAGACGTGTCCACTGCAAGGCTGGACTGGTCACGGAGCCGTTTACCACAATACCTCCTCCTGTCTCCCTGCGTCTCCTTCTGTCTTCTTCTGTCTTCTTCTGTCTCCTTGCGTCTCCTTCTGTCTCCTTCTGTCTTCTTCTGTCTCCCTGCGTCTCCTTCAGTCTCCTTCTGTCTTCTTCTGTCTCCTTGCGTCTCCTTCAGTCTCCTTCTGTCTCCCTGCGTCTCGTTCAGTCTCCTCCTGTCTTCTTCTGTCCCCCTGTCTCCTTCTGTCTCCCTGCGTCTCCTTCTGTCTCCTTCTGTCTCCCTCTGTCTCCCTCCGTCTCCCTGCGTCTCCTGTCTTTAGTTTTTTAACTCTAATCATTCACGTCTTGATGAATTAGTTCATCGTCAGTGTTCGATAAGATATTTAGTCACATATTCAACATTAACATTCAGTTTGTGTTGAGAACTGGAACGTGATCGCTGGTGCAATTTAAGTCAGTGTTTTAAATGTGTAATTCCACTGTGGAAAGAAACCTTTGAAGGACGATTAAGTGAGAACATCTGAACTCTTGAAGCCTCCTGGAGGGGAAACGACCCACGGAGACCTACCAACATCTCCTGATTCCTCCCACTCGGATTATTAATAACTCCAGAGTGTCCATCAGGTCCTCAGACCACCACCGTCTCCTCTCATGATCCCAGGGATTTAGTGCCTTGCTCTGCAGCACTTCAGCGGTAGACGTTGAGGGAGAGAAGCTCCATCTTTCTGGGGCCTTAAAGCCGGCTGGTTGTCTGGTTTGTTTTTTATTTGAACTGTTGAGACTCTTGTTCTCACATCATCTTCATCGGGTTGGTGTTTTTATTAAAGGCGCTTTGTGGTGTTTCTGAGACATTTAAATACATTCTATTGTGTGCAGAGACACCACCCTCCTCCACCCCTCTGGGTGGAAACTGTAAATACTTACAGAAGAACAGGAGTTTACGGCAGTAGAGTGTATCTCAGCAGATGTCTGTTTGTGAAAATGAAGAGAACTTACTGTTGTGATGTATTGTTGCTTATTCATGCTACTTATTTAAGACAAAATACGTACTTTGTTTTTTAGTTTGAAACTGATTTATTCAACGGTTCTGGTCTCGTTAGCGAAGGGTCGTCCCATTTGCCTCCTTTATGGTTATTGTGTGCAGACTCGGGACAAACTGCCACTCGGATTCGTCTCTGCGTCCAACCGGACGCCACCTGATCCTCGTCTTCCTCCATCGACTCAAAAGATTAACGAGGGACCTTCTGTGTCCAGAACAAAAAGTAAAAGAACACCTAAAAGACGCTCAGACGTCACTTTGTCTCAACGTCACTTTGTCTCACGGTCACTTTGTCCCGGGTCTGGGTTTTTTCTGGTGGCTTTGGACCACAGTGCGTTGCCTTTAAACGTAGACTGATCACATGTCGCCACTGCTCAGAGGTCAAAGGTCACATTGCGTTACGGTAAATTCAGCAGACCATCCTGCATGAAATGAGCAGGACGGGGTTTGTTTTGGAGGTAACGTGATGAAGTTTATTTGGTCCAATGGGACATCTGGACCGTTGGACCGTCCTTTGGTTTCACACTGGACATGAAAGTGTTGCTGTAAGTCTTTGTTTCTTTAACACGTTCACGCCTTATTAACCACCCGACCTGGTTGAGTTAACCGACCTGTTAAGGTCCATTTACCGATCCAATGAATGACGTAAAGGAAGAGCGACGGACTTCAGACCGGTTTGTTTCAGCAGTCCAACGTGCACGCTCCTCATCTTTGGGCTCGAGGTGGACCTCACATATGAAGACGGTTTCACAAGACCTCAAGTTGCAGATAAAAGTGAACGTCTTCATGTGTCCCCGTCTTCTTTAACTTGTTTCCTTTAGTTTCTAACGTTCTCTTTTCTCAAGAAAATATGTAAACGTCGGTGAATGAAAAGATATCAAAGGCAGAACGACTTTCTGGAGTAAGATGTATTGGTATTAATTGGATAATATTACAACTACTTCTACTACTACTACTATTACTACTACTAATAGTACTACTACTAGGGAGGTTTTAGCTTTAAGACAGATACATTTCTGCGTGTTCTTATGAAGAAAGTAAAATGTTCTCTGTAAATACTTAGTTACTTTAGTTTGCTTTGGGTTTTTCACTAAATGGGTTGATTATGAAGATGAAAGTGAAGAATGTGACCTCGGTCACTTTATTACTCGCAGGTTGATGTGCTCCTCTGATTCCTCTCCAGGCAGATTGATAATATCAGCGGATGTAAATATGAACACAAGCTTTGGAAACGTTTTTATTTCTCTTATTGTCTCTATGATTTAAGATGCACATAATTACCATTATTCTAACAGTGCTGAATAAGCACGTTTACGTTCAGGACTATTCTGTGAACCCGTTTTGTTTCTAATGAGACAAAGTGTGATTATTTCAAATGTTAACATGGATTTCTTTTCTCTCCTGTTTGGTTTTTTGTCCCACGTGGATTATATTCCAATAACACCGTGTTCTGTTAACGAGGAAAAGCCAATAAAAGCTCAGTTGTGTACCTTTGTTTGTTCCGCTGGTGTTAGTGGCCGATACGCTCAGGCTCATTATTCTGTAGTTATTCTCTTACAGCATTGCTGGATTTATTTGATTAAAATGGGAAAATATCAGTTTTGGTTATTAGTCCCTGTTAGCTCAGGGTGGTTCCCCGTTATTTAGTTCTTTTCTGATTTATCGTAGTGACTTTTAATACTTCCATTGATGTCAATCATTTATTTCAATCTAAGCTCCTTTCAACAAAGTGTCATCAAAATGAAGACGTTGTAATAAAAGTTTAAAGATAAAAACAAACAGAGCAGCAGCCACCTGCAGAGGGTGAAAACCGCCCAACGCATCACCGGTTCCTCCCTCCCCACCATCGAGGCGTCCAGAGCAAGAGATGTCTGCCCTCCTGCCCTCTGGGAGGCGCTACAGGGGCCAGGAACAGCTTCATCCCTGCGGCCGTCACTCTACTGAACTCTGCCCCCCCTGAACTCTGAACTCTGCCCCCCCCCCATCTCCCTCAGTGACTGTACTCCCCCCTCCACCCTGGCTTGACTGCCACACCCTCCTCCAGCCACTGAACATTTGCACTGTTATTGTACATCCATTTCTTACTGTACACATCTATTTATTCACTTATTACACTTTACATATGCAGAGACTCTGCACTTTTTGCTATTTTGCACTTCTGGTCGGATGTTAAACTGCATTTCGTTGCCTCAGTACTTGTACCCTGTGCAGTGACAATAAAGTTTAATCTAATCTAATCTAAACATAACGTTTTCAAACTAAAAAAACAAAAACATTTAAACAAATCAAAAATAATAAAAAAGTAAGATAAACTTTTCTTTGGGTTAATAAAACAGAATAACTGGAGCAGCTCGACATTTTAAAAAGAACATCATGAAAACATTTATGATCTTCATCTCTATCTGCTCTGTTCCAAAGTCACACAGACCTTCAGAGGTGAGATCTTCACTTCATCTAATGTGTAAATGAATGGAAACATCCTCTCAGTGAAGGTGTGTGTGAAGGTGTGTATGTGTGTGTTAGTATCAGGATCAGAGAAACGCAGCTTCCCTCCGTTCCAGTCCAGATGCACTCTGATCCTCTGAGCCTTCGTCTGCACAGAGAGCTCAGTGAGTGGAGCTGATGGTGACAATACATAGTATGTATCTTCATAGAACCCTATTCTCAATATCCCAGACAGTACGGTTCCTTTCCTCTGGAAAGACTCTGCTAACACACCCAGATACCAGTATGTACTGTCTCCTACTTCAACATCCCAGCTGTGAGTCCCTGAGTTAAATCCCTCAGAGCCCAGAACAACACAGCGTTTATCAAACCTCTCTGGATTATCAGGAAGCTTCTGTATCTCTCCTCGTCTCCCGCTGGTCAGATCTTCAGACAGGATGAGGTCTGGATAAGCAGTGTTTGGATCCAGAACCACAGGAATGTAGGAGACCATCTCCTTCATCTTGCTCCAGATGTTGTAGGTCAGGTTGCCCAGGTGTTTGGCCTGGTCTATCAGAGCTCCTGATGGCAGCTGGTGGTCCTCCAGCAGGTGGCGCTGCTGGACTCTTTCCACTGCAGCCTTGTAGTGGTTCAGGAAGGAGATGTCTTCAGCTCTCAGCTGCTCCTCTGTGGCTCTGACTGTGTCTGAAAGAGCTGCTATCTCTCTGCTCAGAGCCTCCATCTTCTCCTTCATCATCTGACTCTTCTGCTCCACTTCCTTCTTCAGAGCAGAGATCCTGGCCTTCTTGTCCTTCTTTAGAAACTGGTGAAGCTTCTTAAACTGATCCTGAATCAGCCTCTCTGTGTCTCGGGCCTGGACCTTCATGTGTGCTGCTGTTTGATCACACGTCACTTTAACTTGTTCAAGGAGCTTTAACTTCTCCTTTAAGGCCTCCAGAGGTTCCTGAAAGGTTCTTCTTGTGTTCTACAGCAGCTTCATCGATGGGTCTGAATCTGTGATTGTTGTGTTTCTGTGAATCTCTGCAGACGACACACACTGGCTGCAGATGGTCCAGACAGAAGAGTCTGAGCTTCTCAGAGTGCAAACTGCAGAGAGTCTCTGAAGCTCTCTCCAGTAAGAAGGCCTCACACAGGTTCTTTAACACCAGGTTACAAGGTGGATGTGACCCTGAAGATGTTGTCCTACAAACTGGACACTCCTGAGCTTGTTTCTCTCTCCACCAGCTCTTCAGACAGACTTTACAGAAGCTGTGGCTACATGACAGAACAACAGGGTTCTTGAAGACTTCCTGACAGACCGGACAGCAGAGATCCTCCTCGGATCTGGAAGCCATTTGGTCTCAAAGCGAAGCTGAAGACACAGAAAGTAGATCCGTCACGGCTTCCCTCCCTCTTCTACTAACTTCACGGTTTCTACTCAAACTCACCTTCAGTCTGTGGAGCGTTCGGTT